CGCAGTTGCACCAATTGGTGTGTTCTGGATCATGGATGATTGCGGAATCCCTGAATCCATGGACTTTTTCAAAATATCTAGAAACATCAAAAAGGCACTTTGGGATTGCAATCACCGTGGTCGTGTTGATGTCAGAGGTTATGGTCGTAACGAGGTGTTTGGAGTCCCTCGCTTCGCAGGTCGTGACCTTGTGTTACAAGATGATGCGGGTGTTTACTCTCCCTTTCCCCCAGAAGAAGCAAGTGTAGAACCGATGCTGAAGAAGGTTTTTGTTGATGTTTTGGCATGGGCCTTGCACAATCCTTCTCCTGCGCACATCCTTTTCATCGCCGGAGACATGACTCTTCACAACTACGGTCTCCTTTACAATCTTAAGCTGTCAGGATACAACATACTCTTAGGATCTCGGCCAAAGCCCAATCCAAAGATTATCGATCATCAGTTTGGTGCGCTCACATCGACATTGTGGTACTGGTGTCTGTTATTACAGGGTAAATTCCCTGTGACAGTGAGTCTTCCCATATTGCCTGGATCACAGGAAGGTCACCTGGAAGGAGTTGTCTCCTTGAAAGGGAGACTTGTTTGAACCCTGCTTAGACTGATCTATGTTCTCTTTTATAAACTGTATTTCCCTGTTGACATTTCTTTGTTTCAGACTGATCTATATTCACCTCCAAGGAGAAACGCAGACTTGGTCTTGGTTCTTGAAAATATATTGAAACGCAGACTTGGTCTTGGTTCTTGAAAATATTAAGTTAATATTAATGTGATTTGCTTTGTCTCACTGTGTATGTGTATGCTCAAATTCTAGTTAGTCTTGACTTCTGATTATTAGGTTGTAGTATGGCGACAATATATTGGTGGGTGCTTTCTTCATATTGCATTTAACTTCTTCATATTGCATTTAACGGACTTAAAAAAACCCAAAATTCTTGAAACAACAACTTCCATTGTATCTTTGGACATCCAAAGTTGAAACACATATTTCAATAATGAGATATGTTTCGATTGTCTCTTAAACTAAAACTATCTAGAAAGAGATCTAGGAGTTGACAGTCACTGCTACAACGAAGGAGCCTTTAGAGTAGACAATTCCCTCAGAGGAAGGAGCACTAAACTCGGTTTCTCTTGTCGTATTTCTCTTGCACTAACATATAAACGGTTTTGGAATGGTCCCCTCTACTTTTGATTTTGATCGTGTTCAGAGGAAGGAGCAAGCTTGCGGTTCCAAAGCGTGCTATCTAGAAGACCAGCCAACCGCAGCATTTTCTGTTGTCTGAATACTTGAACCTGAATCGGTGTTTGAGGCGAGATGGCTTAGCTTTACATCTGATCTTGACTTTGTGTCTGTTGCGCCGCTTGGTGCATCTTGAGGAAGACTAGAATCTATGGGATTACCTGATGTAGCAAGGTGCTCTGTTCCGCCAAATGAGTCCAAGAGTTGACGTAGACCAGCTCGGTTCTACATAACATTGAGAAGAGAAAATCACTGAATTAGAAACGGATACCAAATTCAGACGAGAATGAAAACAGTTTTAGTTCTGCAGTCTATAAAGCTGTAGCAGTGACCTTGTTGCGAAGTGACCTTGTTGTGAAGAGACCATATAACATAGCGAGTCGTACTTGCTAAATCCTCCATATATCTGCAATCAATATAAATCACTGAAGCTCACCAGAAGACAGGTCGGAGGTACTGGAAAACTGAATATATGATCACTAACAATAGACAAAAGTGCAGGAGTTGGAAGTAGACTTACGTGTCACGACATGATTTTTCTGTGGACTCCACGAGACTATTGAAAGCTCCGGTTAAGAAACACCTCATGCCCACTTAAGTATTCACCTTCTTTCTGTTCAAGCTTAAAACATACATCACACAATTTTCGCAGGGAAGGGAAAATGAGTAGGAGACCACCAAACCAAAGAAAACAGTGCCTACCTAAAGAAGATATACAGAAATTGGAAGTAATCTGTTGAGAATGTGTAGAAACCTTGGCCCCTAACTTAACCAACACAAAGGAAACGGAAATGAGAACTGAAAACAGTTTATGTAGTATAAACACGTGAATAACAAAATTTCAGATGAACAAATCCCCAAACATAGTTTTTTTTTTTTCTGAAATGTATTCCCAAACATAGTTTATCTTAAGCAAAACGCGTTTACTCAATCACTCAAGCAAAAATAAAGTTCAACTAAATTTCAATACTGAATGGCAGTATGATTCCAATATGTGATGTGGTATTTCAACATTTCCTATCATGTATATTTGCTATCCTCCACGAGAAAAGAAGAAAATAGTCGATATATCTTTGTTACCTTATGAAGAAAAGGTTCAAAAGTGTCACGAGCCTTTGCAACTGCTATAACGCAAGCTGTTCTACAACAACAAGTAGAGAAAAGAGAATACGAGGTCCCATGGCAAACATGAAAAACATTGCAAGTCAGATGAAATACTACAAATGGGTCTGATATGCAAAGCCAATAAAATTCAGAACTGGAGTCAAAATTCAGAATAGTTTGTTCCATAATGGATATCCTCAACTCCACATGCATTTACGAGTCAGACCTTCTCTCCGAGGAGACTTGGAAGGAAGTTTGTATATTTTTTCTAATATATAAAAGTCAAAAGTTTTCATACTTTCTCCTCGTGTCCATAACCTAAGAGGAACTGGCAGAGATATTTTTCTCAATAGACACTATCGATTCTGAAAAGTCTATGCAATATCACTTAAGTATGAAAAAAACATATCGATGCAATTTTCATCAATTATCCAAAATCAATTAAGAAAGTTATCAAAAGACATAAGGCATACCTTGGGAGGGAGTAGGTTCATAACATTAGTGAAGAGCTTGTATATCTCACTATCCTCTGAGCTTTTCCTTCCTGTGAGACGTTCCAATGGAAGGGGCCGCAAGACACAACGGCAGAACAACAAATGGAAGTGGTCCCATGTCAAGAAGGTGAAGAGAAGCATGTGAGTCTTGCACATGCGAAGCAAATTTGACCACAAGTGTCAAAACATGACCGATAAAGTCAAGACTCAGTGTGTGTTCAAGATGTTGAATAACCTGATAACGGTAGAGGTTGATGTGCATATGAGACCGCAAGTTTAAGCAAATTACCACAATAGAAAATTCCTCAGATTCTATCATTTATTTTTAGCTAACTTACCAGTTTCGCAAGGCGTCCAACGTTTGGGAGTATCATCGTCTGTAC